GTAATAAAATGTTTATAGCTGTGATTAGTATGCCTAGCTGTACTACTATTAATAGAGCCAGAGCAGCTTTTATAATTATCTACTTTCTCTCCTTGATATACTTAAGAACCTTCTCCGTTACAGTAGAGATACTTTCTTCTGCATATCTATCCAAATACTGCTGTTTCTTTGCCATTTTGCCACACCTACGCTGCAATCAGTCAGTTTGTTTCAGTCCGGTTCAGTTTTGCTTAGGCCATTTACGAATACTTGTGCTAATTAATTAATATATTTAAAAACTGAATGCGTAGGCTGGCAACGGCTAAGAGGCGTCGCTGTTGCCATAAAAGCAACTGCCAACGACTGATATCGAAACAGAAATCTTCATTTAAAAAAAACCGCCAATTGCCATATAGAGACGATCCACTGATCAGGCTCTAGATAAATCAATTTTAATACCTACTTATATATATGTATATGCATATACTTGTAAGACCTTTCGTGTCATTAGCTATTGGGGGCTAATGAACTTGCCAAATTAATGTGAGCCAATCAGCCAGTTGGACATGATATAAATAACAACAAACAAAACAGCAACTACTGCAACAACAACAACAACAACAACGACGACGACTACAACTACTACAACAAGACACAAATTATGCTTGCGCGTATTTAAGGTATGTTTTTTTTTTTTTTTGTCTTCCAATTAATAACAGTGCATGTTGTTGGCTTTTCTGACATTTTTCTGGTTAAAAACCAAATGCAAATCTGTAGCTACAAAAGGCGCTTTTTACCATAATTACCCGTGCACTACTCAGGTGAAATTTCAGGTGCTCAGCTGCCAAATTAACTGCATATTGTTTACGGCTCACGCTGAGCGCCACACAGCAGGTCTTTCAATTTTTTTTTTGTTATATATATTTTTGCTAATCAAGCTGAGTAGGGCAGGAATACCGCATGTAAGTAATGTGCATCTGTGCTCGTTAACAATATGGGAGTATGTTAATATATATACATATGTATGTATATATAATATATATATGTATATAGCTTTACCAATTAGCTGATAAGTTAGTGCTGCCAGCAGAGTCATAAATGAGCAAAATTTATTTCTTTTCGTGCTCCATTTTATTGTTGTAATCGCCATAAATATATTGGCTGGGCATGTACTGAAATTTCATGTGCTTTTCATTAGCATTTTCATCATGTTGAGCTATTATACTAATAGCTCATCTCTTATGTGAATCGGATAAACTGAGCCGCTTTGATGCATACATAATTGTTAAGGCATACCATATCTAGTAAGCAGAGGTAGTTATTCGATTATTTTTATCGATCGTATGATAGATAATATGGCAATGTGGACGAGCATAGCGAATGGCAAATATAAAGAGTCTTGGTTATTAAGTAGTCGAGTGTAGGCGGTGATTAGACAACTTTGATCGATCATATGATAGATCAAGTGGTGTAAGCATCAAGACAAGAGATGGAACAGACTTAGTGTTTGGAACAAATTTTAATTACATACCCATAAATCACATTGATTTATAAAGTAATATTTAAAGCCATGGCTTCGCGATATTAAGAGTCTGGTAAATTATCGATAAATTATATCGTTGATATTTACTATCGTTAATCACTCAATTGATCTATGAAACAATGTTTGAAGCCATGACTTCACGGTATTAAAAGTCAGGTAAATAAAATTAAAAACGTAAATCAACAATCTGGATAGTAAAATATTTTTGGAAAAAGTTTTATAGTTTTACGTAACTAATGTTGTATGAATAAAAGACTGATGAGGATAACTGCCCATTGGAAAGAGTTTTTATTATACTTCTAGCCAAAAACACGTGGATCGATAACATTTTATTGCATTGTTAACAGAAAAGTAAATCACTCAATACAAGAGAATATCATATTGTTTGTGGTTTTTTCCTCATTCGGTATTGTTTTTTATTTATTTGCCTTTCTTGTCTGTGCTGTTCGCTTAAATAAAAAAAAAACGTTGTCTCTTGGCTGTGTTTAATGTTTATTGTTTATTGTTTTGTCTTTAAAATGCTTCGAACGTGCTAAATATGTATTTTGCACTTAATTTTTTTGTTCGTTTTGGTGATTATTATTCGAGTTAATGGCGAAGAGTTGCAAAAAACGGTCTGCGGTGGTCGCTTGAGGTTGATTTTTTAAATTTGCTATAAATTGTTGTTGCCTATATGGTTAGCATAAATTATAAGAGTATCTGTGAAATATGCTATCAAAATAAATAAACGGCATGGCAATTGTGAAGGCACGAAGCGTTTGGCTCTTGACTTATGTCTGATTATTGCTTCCTGTATTGCAGTATTCTGTCGGGGCTTTTATTTTTTATTGTTTAGCCTAGCTTAGATTGCTGTGGCGTATTTGAGGAGAAATCGGGCATTCAACTGGCCAAGAAAAAGCAAAAATAAAGAAAAAAAAAAGCTAAGCACAAAGTATCTTTTAGCAAATAAAGATACTCGGCTGCTGTTCACACAAATTAGCGATTGGCAAGGCGTAGCTGCCTACTGATTACACAGAGACGCGCAGCAAAAGTCAAGCAATTAGCCAAGTTAAATACATAATGCATTTGTCTGGACTGCCGTCCGGCTGTCACTCCGGCGCACTGAACGTCTTAACTTGGCCAACAGATGCAGCCAAGCGTTCGCTTAGTTTGTTCCGTGCAATCCGTGCAGTAAATAATATCTTAAGCCACGGCGTGACCGATAAATCTCTAGATGTGGCGCAAAATGATTGCCTTGCAGATCCGCGCTGGGGGTTAATATTGGCTGTAAGTGCGGCTTTTGGTAGCGCCCAATTTGCAGCTGATCTAAGCTAAGTTAAGGCAGCGATTACCGTTAAACGGCTGCATATTATCTGCCTGCGCCTCACAAATCGCCGCCGACTGCCTTACAATGCTTCGATTCAACCATTTGCCCAGTAATTGGGTCAGTTGTGAGCCGTGCTTGGCAACAGCAATCGAATGTATCTCAGACCGCACTCTATTCGCATTGTCAAATGGTTCTCAGCCACGTTTGTAGCTGTATCTGTATCTGTATCTATGACTGACTTTTGTGGCCTTTGATGCAACTTGTTTTGGACTCGTTTGTTAGCATTCTGTTGGCAATGCGACTGGCGACAGTCGAGCGTTAAGTTGACTGCCATTCTGCATTGGTAAATATGGATTTATCGTCCCCGCTGTGCTGTCTCATGATTATAATTATAATATCTTAAGGCAGAGCCAACACAATGCCGAATCAACGAACTGTTATGAAAGCAACCGAAAATATCTATAGCTTTGAGCTATCGAAAACAGAGTTCGTCTGCAGCGTGTTCTCTGGTGTTGGCTGTTTTTTTAGCTTGAAAAAAGCTGAGAGCTCGTTGAGGTTAAATAATATAAACAGTTAACAAATTTGGAAATCAAAAAAATGTAGATAAACATCTAAGAACTTACCCTAATATCCAAGTGTATATTCTATATTGTATTCAACTTCAAGGAACTTGAAGCACCGTAAGATATTTGCAAGTTCTCAGCTAATCACCTTTGATCTAACTGCGATATCGCATTTCGCTGGTAGCCTCTAAAAATCAAGCAAGCCAAAAGTATGCTGTCAGCACTGGCTGCTGATCGGTTGGCTGTGCCAGTGGCTGGCTTACTTCAGCGAATAGCTGCTGGCCTTGGTTACTGGTTTCTAAGTCGAGTTGAGTGTCTGGTTGCCTGACTCGCAAGCACTCGAGCCTATGGTTATATATAAATAAATATATGTGTTTATATAAATATAAATATAAATATATATGCATGTATGTATATTCATAACAGTCGGCATTTGCGGCTAATGGCTGAGATTGAAATGTCATTGTTGTCAGCTTATCGTTTGAATAAATGCCCCAGCAAAAGATCAGCCACTGCCGCAGCAAAAACTCAGATTCGAATGTGCTTGGTTGCTAATTTCGCATATTTTTTGCTAACACTTCACATTGTTGGGCACCTCTCTATATACCCTGTACGCAGTTGTGAGAGGCAGTAGTAGAAACTATTTCTTCACACGCTCCCTAGCCCAACTTTAGTTTGGGATGTAAAGTAAGACTGAGTGTATTGTACAGGGTATTTGCTGGTCGGGCACACTCTCGTATTCGTTTGCTTGCTGTTACTTTTGTTACTTGTTATTGTTGCTTTTGTTTTCTGTGTTTTGAAAAATACCTCAAAGTGCTCAATTTCTCACTTCGTCACACGCGCTCGCTCTTGCTCTCGCTTTAACGCTCTCACTCCTCTCTCTCTCTCTCTTTATTTGGAAAGACAAAAAATGTTTATCGTTATCTATCATATCGTACCCTGCCCATTCACAGCTAATGTCTTAAGTCGATTCAAGCGCAAGCTAACAACTGCTGCACGTATGTCCGAAGATCTGGACGAGCTGTTTCTGACGCCGATACCGGCTCCAACGCCCGTCGAGCTGCAGCAGTGCATCTTGTTTGGCTTCCGCCGCCGCCTCAATCCCGCCCAGATACTCGACGAGTGCTGCAGCGCCTTTGGGCCGTTTGCGCCGACTGCGCAGTATGTGGCCAGATGGTATCAGAGATTTCAAGATGGACTCTTTACCATTGACGACAGCGTGGAGGAGGACTGGGGTGTGGGGCGTGGACAAACGCCCACCACATGCAGTGACTTCAACGATGATGATGATGATGATGATGATGAAGATGCTGATAATGCCAATGGCAATGACAATGACAATGATCAGAGTCAATTGCCGCTGGTCTTGCATGATCTAATGGGGCATGGGCATAGCGATAAGGATAGTTATAACGATCCCGATGATTATTATAATGACAAAGCTGATGATGAACTGGTTGATGATGGGAACGTGATTAGTTATTGGCACGGCTATGGCTATTTGGGTGGCAAGCGAAGGTATGCCACGACCTGCACTAGACCTAAGTACTCCCAGCTCTGCATCATCAATTGAAAGTATCTTAAATTGAAATTCTTTTTCCATTCACAGCGGAATGTCTATAAGCGGCTTGCCGCCTTTGCCAAAATCTCTGAGTGGTTTCAACAAGCTGCTCGGCTCTGACTCGGGTCTCTTGAGCGATGTGGATGTGGCACAGCAAGAGCTTAACAACAACAACAACAACAGCAGCAACAGCAACGTCAAGAAGGAGAACGACAGCGGCAACAAATTAGCAAGCCAAATAGTTAGTGATAACAACAACAAAAGCAACAGCAGCAGCACCAACAACAACAATTTGAGCGACGATAAGCAAGCATCTAAAGACAGCAGCAGCCAAGATAATGCAGACGATAAATCAGCAACGGCTACAGCAGACGCTGCCACAGCAACACCAACAGCCACAGCAACAGCCACGGCAACAGCTACGGCTACGGCTACGGCAGCAACAGCAACTCCCAATGCAAATGAAAATGAAAACAAAACAACAACAACAACAACGACGACATCAACGCCAAGCTCACCTGCAAAAATCAATGTAACGGGCAGCACTTTGGACGCGCAGATAGCGACGCTGCGCAAGGAAATGGTAAGTCGATTAGCCATCACCTCATAATATACCCTATATGCTAAGGGACTTTGATTTAACTAGACAGCTTAAGACAAACGTGTTTAAAGAGGTTTGAGGTATTTTAATAGCAAAGTAATAATACCTATTATTTAAAGTGATCTACAATTGTTTATATAATCCATGATCTAGATTCATTTTCATTTTACTAAAATTTCGTATGACTATTACTAATTTTCGTATAACTAAAAGAGACATTTATCATGTAAAAACTAGTTAAATAATTGTAAAGAAATATGGCTTTACTTCAGCTCTTGTGAGAAGTCTCTATTACAATAATATAGGGTATACAATCCGTCATTGACTTGCATTCGTTGCATTCAAATTCTAAGAATTTGTTCAAGCAATTATTCATGTGGCTCATGGTCTATATGGGTAGGGTATTTGTATTTCGACCAATTGAAAGTGATTTATTGCATTTCTACTTTTGATCACATTTTCGAGGGGGGCGGGGCGCACATCATTTACATATGAAGCGATGAAGCTAAGCTAAATTCTGTTATAGCCAAAGTGAAAATGCAACAATGGAACGGAAATGTTTTCGATTTGATAAATTTGTATATGCATGTTAAGTGTGTATGCATGTGTGTGTGTGTGTGTGCTGGCCTTTCAGCACTTGAATGCCATAAAAGCAATTTCAGATTTCACTGTTTGAAAATTCTTCAGATTTTGGTTGCACATTTTTCAAATGCAACTGTGTGTGTGTGTATGTGTGTACGTGTGTGTGTGAGTTCGAGTACTCCGTATCTTAAAGTTAGTTCATTTGTCATATTTTTTGAGCAACAAAAACAATTGCATTTTTGGGCGCAGCTTTCTACGACTTTGACAAATGATCTTATGCATGTATATACACATTTATATATATACTCACATATATGTATATGTGTATGTACTACGATTCTTTTTGCACGTGAGATCAGCTTTGCTTTGCTGTGCTGCAGCTGCGATCACTTCTATATAACAACGAAAAGAAAGTGCCGAAAACTTTCGGTTTTGCTCGCCGGCAGAGTTCATGAATATTTCAGAGCATTAAATAAGCTCAACTATAAACTTTGACATTGTCGCGCTTGGGCCTAAGCTGATATAGATGGCCATAAAGCATCGAAATGGTCAACGAGTTAGGTCAACAAAGCGAAATGCAAATGCAGCTTTTATTCATTAAGTCAAATTGGCAAAGCAATTAACTTACCCATAGAAAGAGATTCATTTGGAAGGTGAAAGAAGACAGAGAGAGAGAGCGAGAGAGGGAGAGACAGAGCTAGCCATGATGTGGCGGCCTTTGGCTTTAAAGTTGACTAGCTTTTGTTTTGGGTACGGGCCCGGTATCTGTGGCGTGGGGGCAGCTGGCATTTAACCAAACACTTTGTCAAAGTTGAAAGCGCAGACGCAGCAGCGCTAACGCTTGGCGTTAGGCTCTTCAAATAATGTATTCATTTGACATCATGTCTGGGGGCATCATCAGCCGGTGGCAAAGCGGGGGCATTGATGAGCGAATGTCGCTTTAAGTCAGCTTTATAATTGCGATGCATCAACAAGCAAATGGGAATTTGAGTGAGCAGCAAGAGTTGCCATGACAGATTCGCAAATACTCTACAGAGGAAGCAGTTGAGCCTGAAGAAAAACTCAGTTATAGTGAAGAAGAAGTGTTAATTAAGTTGGTTACAAATATGGCACATATTATGAAATCTGTAATTAGTATAGAATTTATAGATAAAAAGTCACATTTTCCATATAAATCACATCACATATATTATATATATTCAATGCCAGATATAGTTTGTTTAGAATATATGTGCCAATTAGCTCAGGGCAATTTGTGGCTTTGCCTGAAACTCAACTCGCATCCGCCTGCGATGCGGATCCGAATGATTCGAAGTTTCTCACATGCCGAGCGACTTAAGGTATTTATCCAGTTTGTTTTTGAGCTGATCACGAACTGCGCATGGCATTCGCATGTGAATTGTGACACGTTTTTTGAGGCAGCCACCTGACTTGTTATTGGTCTATTGGTCTATTGGCGTCGTGGCCAGGCCCACGAGCACTGAGCCGAGTCTTCGCTGATGTGCTGCTCTTGACCAAGCCTCGACAACAACGTCATCTGTGCTTGTGTCGCCGACAGTTGACAGTTGATTTGTAATTTAGTCTGTATTTATTTTTTCTTTTCATTTTTATGCTGCAATTAAATAAATTAAAATTTTGTCTGCACTTGCGCAATAATTTAACAATTTGTAACGCAACTGCGACTTGTTTTTAATTGCAATCGGATTGGGCTTTGTGGGCCAGCCTGAGCTTGAGGCTTGCCAATTGCCAATTGCCGAATGCCGAATGCCGAATGCCTAGTGCCTATTGCCGGCTGCTAGTGGCTTTTGGCCGGGTCTAAAGTCTAACGTCTGTGGCCAAAACCTTTCACATTTTATGTGCCAGTGCCTGGGCGACCTTTTACATGAACCTGTTTAATGTACACCCAGGCGTAGGTGTAAAACTAAAACACAAATTACAATTGTCGGCTGGGTAGGAGCGGCCGCAGTTCGAGTCTAACTGCGGCTGCCACAGATTTTGGCCCCCTTTATTTGTAGTTTTTCTTTTGGCCTATTGTGTGCTCTGTTTTGGGCGCCAATTTGAGCGAGTTTAGGCCATTTACCAATTTACATGCCAATTGTGCAATAATTTTGCGACTCTTTTACTCTTTACTGGGTCAGGCGTCATCTGTGGGCTGGGCTGTGCATAGGCCCCACCCTCTGCTCCTGCTTCTTTGGTATCTGTTACCTGTTACAATTAAATTACAAATGTTGCTATGTGTCTTGTTACCAATTACGCTCCACTTGCTGTTATTATTGTTATTATTGTCGATACTGCTGCTGTTGTTGTTGTTGTTGTCTCGACTAATTTCACGCGCTCAAAGTCGGCTCGAAGTTAAAGCCAAAATGCCGGACAACGCCAACGCGCGCCCAATGACACAGTAATTGGTCATTGTTTTTGCCCAACCATTATTAATACACTGCAAAAAATGAGGTAGTAAGTGCGCAGCTGACTGTTAGCTAACATGGCTAACAGGTTTTCTTAGTAAAGCAACAAAATAGATAACAAATTAGTCCAAAGGTTGCTGTATATATTATATGCGAATATATATGTATATATATATACAGCAAATATTTATTGAAAATCTTAAGAAAAATGTAATTATTCAATAAAAATTAAAAATTAAAATATATTTATAAAATTAAAATATTGCCAAGAAAAATATAATCAATAGCTGTTACATAAAATGTTTTTATGTAATGAAGTTTTTAATGAAAATCGACCAAGTTAATTAAATAATATATTATATTTACTATTGCATAAATATTTGAACAATTTGTATAGAGTATAGAATGGGTCAGCTACCTTTTGAGCGTTAGCTAGCTGCATTGGATAAACATTTAAATTTACTCGTTTACAATTGAGCGCGGCCTGTCGCCGGGCCTCGAGCTTGTGGGAGAGCCGGGCGGGGGCTGGGCTGTGGGGGCTCTGGGCCTGGGTTAGTTTTCCTTTGTTTTTTTGCAAATGTTGCGGTTGAATGATTAACGATTCAAGCTGTGAACTGTTGGTGGGTGTGTAGCACACACACACACTCACTCACTCACATGGTCACACATAAAAACAATGCATTGTGTGCGTGTGTGTGTGCGCTGCAATTATGTTAGTTGGCCGCTTTTGCTTTCAATTGTTCAACTGCGATAAAAACCAAAGAAATTGATACTCTTTCGCATCGACATACATTCACACTGACGTATGAATACGTATTTATTTATAGGTTATTTCTTACTATGATTTGTTTGATTTTTTTTTGCAATCTTGCCGTTTATGTTCGCTCGGTTCAATTATGAAAACTGAAAGTAAATAGTTGGCTGAAGGTTAGCGAGACCGTTAATATTATTAGATCAGCTTTCAAACATGCCATAAACGCAATTATATTATGCAAACTTCAATTTATGTCAATTGGCAACATATGATAAATTGCCATACGCTTTCGATAATAAAAACATTTTGATTACGCGCTATTGCCGAGACGGAAGTGGCGTCTACGCTTACAATTTAGATAAGTGTGAGGATATGTGGGATTGTAGCTGATAAGCTTAGATCTACAATTTGCCGTGGAGCTCAATAAGAGACTGCTTACCATTTAAGTACCTCGATCAATTGAGAATTCAAGGCGTACATTTAAAAAGAATTGCATGCCAAGGAAGTCAGAGAATCACTTAGGAGTACTAAAATGGAGAGACTGCGCATGCAAATGAGATTCTTTTCATGCTGAGAACGTTGCATGCAAATTGATTGGTCTGCTAAACTAAATGTAATTATTGTGTTGAGGCTGATTTTCTGCATCTCTGCTCAATTTTCATTTCATTTCGTTCGAGCTCCGATTGGTTTCTAGGCCTAAGCTCTACTTGTAGGAATATCTCATATCGGCTGAGCTGCTAAGCTGCTCGGCTGTCATAGATTTTATAGACAGCTTTCCCCGTTGGCCTTCGCATATGGGAGTGCTGCACCTACTGAAAACCACATGCATTCCATATTAATGAGCAGCACATCTGGAGTCTCGTCAATTACAATTATCCAAGCCAAATTACGCTCAATTGTTCGGCTTTTTTTTGTCCTCTTAATGTATGTGAGTGAGCGCCAATGTAGATTAAGTAATAAAAATGTTTTTTTATAAAGCCAAAAAACGCATAAAAAATAAACCAGGCAGCAGCAGCGGCAGCAGCAGCAACAAACAGGTAACAATAGGAGAAAACCCAGGAGTTGAGGAGTTGAACTAATCAGCGCATGCGCAGCCATTACGGACTAGACTCAGCGTCTTGAGCCGACTAATTCTCTTGCTTCGGTTTATGGTTGGCAAATTAAATTTATAATCATAAAAAAAAGGCAGCTGCCAGCTGCCGCCACATTAGCCGCAAGCTAACCACCAAGACAGAGCAGCA